AAGGCACCGCAGGGCTGAAGGAGCATCTCAGGCAGCTGGGGAGTGTTTCCTGCACTCAGCAAGGGGAGGAGCACCCCCTGCCCAGGCAGGATCTAGCACAGGATCATGCCGGGGGATTCCTATCTGGAGCACGAGTCTGGAGGATGGGCATTAAGGAGGAGCTCATTGGGTAACCCCCTTGCTCGATAAAACCCAGGGCTCTTCTGTAATCTGCAACCAGTCGTGTGAGACCTTCCTAGGGATGAGGGAGGTTCGGATCTGTTTGTCCTGTCAGCAACAGACCCGACACAGGCCATGTGGGATGTCAAACAGGGCTCTAAATAACCACCTCCAACTTGCTCAGCAGCCCTTTGGGTCTCTGCAAACTGAACCAAAGGGAGAGGAATTAAAAGGAAAGATCTACTGGATTTATCCCTCCTGGTGGGAATGCCATCATCCAATAGCAATTTCACCCCGATATGGCTCGGGTCATGGGGGAAATTGGAGGCTTGACCTCATCAGCAGGCTCCCAGCTGGACTTTCCCACGTTCCCAGTTTCTTGCTGGAGCTGCAGTGGGAGAGAAGCAGCCATTTGGCCTTTCTTTTTGCAGAAGGGAGGCTGGCCACATCCCTACACAGTGCCTGATCCTCATTTTGGTTTGTGGAGGCCTTGGTGGACTTAGGTGCCTCCCTGTGCTCCTATTCAACCCTGCTCAGGGCCCTGAACACAAGTGTTTATGCATCTACTAGCCAACTGCCTATCAGGAATTGGGTTGGGCGGGGGGGGAGATGGAGCCCCATGCCACCCCCCACCCCGTCCGGGCCTGCTCCCCCTTTACCTCCTGCTGCTTGGGATCCAGGGCTGCTCCCCGCCTCCGTGGCAGGGGGGAGGGGAGAAATGGGCGCATACCAGCCCCTGCATTATGCTAGATCCTCTGGAAAGGGAAGGGGCTGGGAAATCACAGAGATCTGACCTGGAAACAGGTTCTGGGCCCTGCTCTGTTCCCATCTCACAGCTTGGGAGAGCACGCAGAGCAATACCATGTTCAGTTCTGGGTCTTTATTAGCAGAGATTGCATTTTGGAGAATGCACTGAAGGGAAGGAGGGCAGGGAGGGCTGCAGGCACCCAGAGGTGGAGAGGGGTCATGTGGTGGTGAGGAAAGGTGAAGTCAGGTGGAGGGCCGGGAATACTTCTCTAGCCATAAATGTCCTCCTTGCTGCACGTCAAGAGCCTCACATAGAGGAACCCTGGGACTACAGGGAGGATGAAACTGGGAGACAGCCAAGGACAGTCCTTGGGTGTCACTTGGAGCCAGCTGTCCTGGGCAGGACACCCTATGGTGAAGGCACTTCCTCTCTGCCTGGCAGCACTGGCTAATCTAGAGGATGATGGGAAGACACAGGCAGCAAGGCTGACACAAAGATCACGTCCTCACAAGTTCCCCCAGCATCCGTGCTGGCGTCTGCTGGAGGTGTGTCCTCTTAGTCCCAAGCTAACGTTGCGGGCCAGGCCCTGCGTCCTTGGGGTTCTGCATCTACAAGGGACGAAGGCTGGGTGACCTCTTTCTGCGCTCCACCATGAGCCACCTTTCAACACAGCCACTGCGGGGTAATGAGTAGGTAGACATCCCCAAGCCCTTCCTGCATTGCTGTGGCAGGATTATGGATGCTCCTGGGTGTGGATGTGCCGGTGCCGGTCCAGGCTGGAGGAGTGCCTGAAGCTCTTACCACACACACAACACTGATGTGGCTTCTCCCCGGTGTGGACACGCTGGTGCTGGGCCCAATTGGAGGAGTAGGTGAAACTCTTCCCACACTCAGAGCATTTGTACGGCTTGTCTCTTGTGTGGACACGTTGGTGCTGGGCCATGGAGTTGGATCTGGTGAAGTTCTTGCCACACACAGAGCACTGATATGGCTTCTCCTCCAGGTTGATACACTGGTGGCGGGCTAGATAGGAAGAGCGAGTAAAGCTCTTCCCACAAACTGAGCACTGATGTGGCTTCTCCCCTGTGTGGACGCGCTGGTGCTGGGCCAAATTGGAGGAGCAGGTGAACCTCTTCCCACACTCAGAGCATTGATAGGGCTTCTCTCCTGTATGGACACGTTGGTGCTCAGCCATGGAGTTGGATCGGGTGAATCTCTTCCCACACACAGAGCACTGATGAGGCTTCTCCCCTGTGTGGACATGCTGGTGCTGGGCCAGATTGGAGGAGCAGGTGAATCTCTTCCCACACACCGAGCATTGATGTGGCTTCTCCCCTGTGTGGACGCGCTGGTGCTGGGCCATGTAGCTGGATGTGGTGAACCTCTTCCCACACACACAGCACTGATGTGGCTTCTCCCCTGTGTGGACACGCTCGTGCTGGGCCATGCAACTGGATCTGGTGAAGCTCTTCCCACACACAGAGCACTGATGCGGCTTTTTCCCCGCGTGGGGGCGCCGGGGACGGGCACTCATGTGGCTTTTCCCCGGTGTGGATGTGCTGGTGCCGGGCCAGGGAGTCGGATCTCCTGAATCTCTTCCCACACACACAGCACTGATGTGGTTTCTCCCCTGTGTGGATGCGCCGGTGCTGGGCCATGTAGCTGGATGTGGTGAATCTCTTCCCACACACAGGGCACTGATGTGGCTTCTCCCCTGTGTGGACATGTCGGTGCTGGGCCATGGAGCTGGATCTGGTGAAGCTCTTCCCACACACTGAGCACTGATGCGGCTTCTCCCCTGTGTGGACAAGCTGGTGCCGGGCCGCAGAACTGGATGTGGCGAAGATCTTCCCACACAAAGAGCATTGATGTGGCTGCTCCCCTGTATGGATGCGTTGGTGGTGAGCCAAGGTGGAGGAGTAGATGAACCTTTTCCCACACTCAGAGCACTGATGAGGGTTGTCCCCTGTGTGGACACACTGGTGCTGGGCCATGGAGCCACATCCGGTCAATCTCTTCCCACACACAGAGCATGTATATGGAGTCTCCCGTATGTGCAAGTGCCTGTGCCTGGCCAGGTTGGAGGAGGAGGTAAAGCTCTTCCCACACACCGAGCACTGATGTGGCTTCTCCCCGGTGTGCGTGCACCTGTGCCTGGCCAGGTCGGAGGGATGCCTGAAACTCTTTCCACACTCAATGCAGCGGTGTGGCTGCTGCCTGCTCAGCCCACACTGGTGTTGCAACAGGTCTTGCTGGCTGGCAAAGCTCTGCTGGCACTTGTTGCAGCGGTGCGTCTTCCTCCCCAAATGGATGTGCTGGTGCTGAGCCAGGGAGGAAAAATGGGTGAAGGTCTTACCACACGGGACACAGCGGTACTGATGCTTCTCCCCCTGCACAGGTTGGTGCTTGACCAGACCCGAGCTGCACACCAGGCTCTTCCCACGCTGGGTGAAGCGGTGAGGGGTGTTTCCACAATGCACCTTGCGGTGAGCGCTCAGGGTCGAGAGGCAGGGGAAGCTCTTCCCGCACTCTGCGCACATGTGGGGCTTCTCCCCAGACTGCCTCATCTTGTGCAAAGCCCTAGGGCAGTTTAAGGTTTTCTTGTACTGGAGGCAAGGCTCCTTCTGCTTTTGGGCCCTCCCTTCACTCTGGTGCCACTGGGCAACCTCTGGTCTCAGGGCGTCCATCTCAGCCGGACTCCCTGGGCAAGCCTGTGGTGGCTCCAGGTTTGCAGGAGGCTGCTGCTCACCTCTGCAAGGCAACCAGGCACCTCCTGCAAGGGAAGGCGAAACTCCATGTTAGTCTCTGCCTTGCTGGAATGGCTTCATGCTCTAAGGGGGGCAGGAGCAGACCAGAGGCATCTGCTTGAAGGAGGGAAGAGGGGAGGAAAGAGGCTCTCTAAGGGCTGCTCTGTCCCACAGCACTGGTGGGTTCAGAGGGAGATGATGCCGAGCCCTGCCCCTGACTGTGTGGACATGCTCCAGATGCCGAAGGGCATTGGTGAGACTGCTCTCCAGCGCTCGCCTCGATCTCCGCAGTGCTGAGAGCAGCATCTGGATACAAGGGTGAACAGCCTCATGCAGGATTTCTGGGGTTTGTCGGCAGGTGTGGGGAGCCCGGCCTGACACGGCCCACCTGCCTCTGTTAGGTAGAAAAAGAGAGTGGGTTTCATCCCTCATTCATCTAAGAAATGTCCTGGGAGGGCAGGACTTAAGGAGATGGCTCCCTCTTGGGAAAGCAGCAGGGCTGTGCTTCCAACCTGCTTCCAGGGAAAGGGCTCAGGAAAGGGGTGAGCCATGGAGGTGTCCTCTGCTGCCACGTCCCAGGTGACCTCCATGTCACTGGAGTCTGCACTGGGACAAAGGCCTTGGCGTTACCTGCATGTGGACTCTGTGCCGAGTCTCAGAGCTTGTGACACTCATGATGACCCCCAAAATGATAAGGAGAGCCTGGTGCAAAGCACGGGGGATTCACTTCCCCCCGCAACGTGAAAGCTTGGAAATCCCACCCACTCCATGGAGCCATTTCATGTAGCCTGGGGCCAGGATTAAACATTTCTGGCATTGCCAGTCAACCTGATGAGGAGAAACCAGGGACAGCCCCAGGCTGTCTCCTATCAAGCAATACTGGCTGCACAGAGCTGCCAACCATGCAGATAGCCATGGGGGATTGCAAATGTCATCATGCTCAGGGAGAGGGTGATGGACACGAATGGCTAACATGGGCTCGGCAATCAAGTCTTACATTACTGACTGAGGATGGAAATCAAAGGTCCTGATATCCCAGGGAAACCAGATCTGTGCCTGAAGAACAAGACAACAACCACGCAGTTGCTTGTCTCCATAGCTTTCATTTTTGGGGATTGGGAGCAACACCTGCCTGCACACGTCACAGCATGAGCCTCATGGGGTCAGCCCCTGCGAGGGCAGCACCGGGCAGCTCTGCAGTTTCCAACCCCCGTCACTCGGGGCACGGAGCATTGCTGAGAGGGGAGCCAGGGGACGGGATCGCCACAACTCACCTGCAGCCGGGTCCCCCCGCCGTGAGCTTTCCCCTGGCTCCTGCCCAGCACAGCCCCAGAGCTCCCCCTGGCCTCGCTGGAGACGGCAGATTAAGTCAGGGGTGGGACCTCGATATCCTGTTTGGGGCAGAGGTTAAAGAGGGTTTGTGACCGGGCACTGCATGCACCATAACCAAGCGGGATGCAATCAACTCGTGGATTCTCCTGGGGCTTGAAGGAAAAGGGAGGATGGACATTTTGGTTGAAAAGGAAGGCACTGCAGGGAGAAGCCTTCAATAGGTGATGGTCTGCGCCACCTAGGTAGTGGAGGGATGGTCCTAGGAAAAAAAGCACCCAAAACCCGGAGGTAGAAAAGGCTGTGAAACAACAGTCACCAGGGACAGGGGTGGAGACGCAGTGATCTGTGCTGGACTGCAAGGCAGAAAGATAAACATTTTACTGTTTTAAAGGTACCAAAATGAAGCGGACACACCTCTGGCTGGGTAACACTTCTCTTAGCAGTGTAATTCCAGGCAAAGCAGGGGAAAGGAGTTTCTTCTCACTGACGGGTTAACACCAGGACTCGTGGTAGTGTGTGAAGGTGGCAGTGGAGACCCAGTAGCAGAGCCAGGGAGAAATGTTTGGGGGTCCTTGTCGGTGGGGTTGTTGGAGGAAGAGAAGGAGGAAGAAGTGGAACAAGGGGAGGCTAGTACTCCCAAAAGTAGGGAGAGAGGTGGGGTATCTTGGAAAAAGAAGAAAGACGAGGGGATAGAGCGGCTCGCTGAAAGGTCAGAAAAGAAAAAACGGAGGACTGAAAAACACAGGAAGGGTGGAGGAGGAGTTGAAAAAATAGGGAGAGGCAGAGAGTCGGATATGGGGCAGGAGGATGCGGAGAGGACCCACAACCAAAGCTCAGGACAAGGGTGCAAGGAGGTGATGCGACAGAGCCCTCAGGGGAGGGAAAAGAAAAACAGGAAAGGAAAACGATGAAGTGCCCCTTGGCAAAACAGTTGCTGATGGTTGGTCACATTGGTCCTTGCACGGGTCGGTGTCAAGAGTACTCTAGGCACAGGTAAGTGGGCACGAGCAGAGGAGTTCCTGGCTCTAGTACAGGTACATGCATGCCTCCAGGAGTGTGGTATACCGGGGAGAAGATTACGCTTGCTTTGAGGAGAGGTGGACCTGGGGACCTCCACGGTGGCCTCGCACTAATGCAAGGAGGGCATCTGGGGAGTGGCTGTGGCACAGGAGCCATAGAGTAGAATTGGAAAGGGAGTGGAGATGGTGAGCAAGAGGATTTTACACGGACAGTTTTTGGTAACAAACATATAGGGCAAGGGAAGCCACTATGGGGCACTGAGTAAGCTTACAGTGAGTTCCCCAGGATCCAAACCCAGTGTCCTTGAGTCTAAAACAGGCGGTAGGTAGAGAAACTGGAGGGAGGGGAAGGAATGGACAAAAACAGTCTGCAAAATATGGGGAGAAGAGGACCAGAGTGGCTAAGAGGACTTGTGGCAGGAGAAGCCCTTCCCTAAGGAAATCCCCTGGGGGAAGACGCTGGGAAGGCAAAGGGAGACCGCTGCCAAGACACTGCTGTGCAGGGAAGCCCCAGGAGTCCCACGAATGGGGACGGCTCAGGGGACGGCGGCTGGACGAAACGAAGGAGGAGATATCAGTGTGAAACGTGGGAGAGGCCTGATCCCCACAGAGCAGTGGGGGGACGTGGGGTTCAAGCCCCGGCCATGAGGATGAGACAGTTGAAAACCAGGGAGAAGACAAGAAACGTGGGCGCTCACATGGCCGCAGGGAGAAGCCAGGAGCAGAGCCTTACCCAGGGAAACGAGGGCTTGGTAATTCCTCAGCATCTGGTCCCGGTAAAGCTCCTTGCCTTCGTCGTCCAGCAGCTCCCACTCCTCCCGCGTGAAATACACTGCCACGGCCTCGAACACCGCCGGGAGCTGCGGGCACAAGCGTTGCACCATCGGTGTCCCCTGGGCCAGCTGCTCCCAGCCCCACGGCCCTGTCTGCAATCACTCGGCACTACAGCTGTGTCCCAGCCTGGCCCTGACAGGCAGGGTGTAAAACTCCCCGTCACTCTGTGGATGTGTGATGTGCATGGAGCCGTGCACACAGGAGGTCCTGCGCCTGCCCTGGCCCAGCTCATGCCCTGCTATTTCCTTACTCTGTGTAGGCAGCCCAGTTCGAGGCAGGGAGCCCTGGCCCCGTGGACTCTGCCCAGGCCTTCCCGTGCCCGCACCCCTGCACATCAGCACCTGGCAGCGAGCTCCGGCTCGTGCCAGCTTGGTGTGTCTGCACCTCCGTCACCAGAGGTTTGTCGCTCTCCACGTCTCTCCGCTCCCCCCCCAACTCTTCCCTGCACCCCTGGCTGCTCCGGGCTCTGCCCCAGCTGCGCTCCCACCCCCAGCTGCCCCTGGGGCCCTGCTCACCTCCAGGCTCTCCCTCGCCTGCCCCTTCTGCCCTGGGCCCGGCTCCC